CAACATCCTCCACACGCCTTCCGGCGGCACAAACCAAAATGAGGGTGAGACCGGAAGACCTTATTCCACGCCATCATCTCGCCACCGCCCTAGTGTCCCCGCCCCTCCCATCGCCAGAGGGGTAGATAGAGGGGGAGGGGGGCCGCGGTCTAGTTGGGGAGGCAGGTAGTAGGCCGGCCTTCGCTCCTGCCGCTAAGTCACCGAAGAGGGGAAGAAAACCATAATTTCTCCCGGTCTAACTACAGATGTAGTCTGATACATCACCCAACCCAATATCTGATACGCCAAAACCCAATCGATATGAACCCGATATCCAACACTCTAAAACCCTCGTGAAAAGTATCTTCTTTATACATGAATTTTATTGATTGAAAGTCGATTAATATCTTGTATTATTGGCGTGTCGACAACTACGATGTGATAATAAGGCGTAAATGTTTCATCCTTGGTGGATTGATGGTACAACCACAACGTTGACCAACCTTGTAAATTTGTACACAATAGTTAAACGTCAGCCGATTGACTTTAGCTATTGAGGTCAGTCGATTTTGAAGGAAGGAGAAGGAAGGGGCTCGCCGGAGGGCTACCCCATCATCCATCTTAGGGTGGGGGTGAGGGTGGAAGAACGACGATGGTGGGGGACGGTGGTGCAAGTTTGTCGGAGAAAAACTGGTCATCGCCAGGGCTAGAGGGATGGCAGCACGGAGGTGGGCCGGAGGGTGGTGCGGCGAGGCTGCGCGGGAGCGCCACCGGCCGTGGGATGGTGGTGGCAGGCGGTTTGGCCGGCGGTCTCGGGAAGTAGATCAACTGGAGGAAGAAGAAGGGCTGCCCACCATTTGATCTGCATCAAACGTCCCAAAACGCCGATTGACCCAAATTTGAAAATAGGCAACTTACATCTAGCCATCTGACTGATAGGCAAAACTAGTCTATATTCTTTTGCAAGAAGGATCAGATCTATTATAAAGATTCACCGAAAGTACAAAACACCTCAAACATAATAAAAATTACATCAAAGTCCATGGACCACCGAACGATCATTGCCGCCGCCAGAAAGAGCCGCTGACGCGTCATTGCCGCCGCTCCCATACCGGAGCCAGCCGGACCTTATCGATGACAGGCGGAAAATCTTCGTGCACGTGCCCATAAGGACCAGCGCCCTGGAGCCGCAGTCCTCGCCGTTGAATCCTTGAATCGATCTGAAGAACCTGACACCAAATATCGCCGTTGCGTACGCATGACGAGAAGCCCTAACCTCACCTCCCGGAAGAGCTGGTGTGAATCTACGCCGGAGCTCTGTCTAATCCGTCCCAACGGACGAACTTAAGGAAGATATGATGCCGAAAGACTGGGTCGAAGAAGAAGCGCCGACATCCGTCCAAACACTGCCCCTGCGAGGATTATAAAACCGTACCTATCTACTAGTTGGGTCCGAGGCACCAGAATCCCCTCCCCGCCACCAGCCGCCGAAACGGCGGACGGAGGGGAGGCGAATCCACGGGCTCGCTCGCCGGTGAAAATCAAAGGGAGGAAGGTTTTTCCCTAGTCGCCTTGCGAGAGGGCAAAGAAAAGCTCTTGTTGCCTTACTGGTATGAAACTCTGAATTGAGACGAATGCAACCAGTCGATCTCTTTCTTAAAGTACAGTTTGAGGGTGAATTTGTTTTCGAAAGACGATCGCCATCTGTGTAGCTACCAAATTTAATGAACCAACGGAGAAATCGGTCGATCGTTGGTACGTGCAGTCTGCAGTGCGTGTCGCTTTCCAGAGCACCTTGCAGTGGTAGTGCAACTCAGCGACGCACCGCGCGTCCCGTCTCCGTGCGCGCGCGTGCACTCGACGGAGGAGTCGTCTTCATCGTCTCTCCGGCCGGCTATTTATACCCCCTCGTCCTCCTCTCTCTCCCACCACTCAGCGGCACCACTCTCTCCCCCCCTCTCTGCCTTCCTCCCTCCATGAGCGCCATGCTGAGCTCGCTGAGGTACCTGGCCGGCTCGGCGGGCCCGAGCGGCTACGGCTCGCGCACCACCGCCGAGGAGGCCACCCTGCCCGCCGGCGACCTGGGCCACATCACCGCCATCGTCACCGGCGCCACCTCGGGCATCGGCGCCGAGACGGCCCGCGTGCTGGCCCGGCGCGGCGCCAGGCTCGTGCTCCCCGCGCGCAACCTCAAGGCCGCCGAGGAGACCCGCGCCCGCATCCTCGGGGACGCCGGCTCCGGCGGCGACCGCGTCGTGGTGCTCCCGCTCGACCTCTCCTCCCTCGCCTCCGTCCGCCGCTTCGTCGGCCGCTTCCTCGCCCTCCGCCTCCCCCTCAACCTCCTCATGTACGTCCATCCGTCCCCGATCCTCATCCTCCCGCCGACCGTCGTCTCCGTCGCCGGCGATCGCCGTGACCAAAACTGACCGATCGGCTCTACGTACGCATGTGCGTGCAGAAACAACGCGGGGCAGTACGCGGAGCGGTTCGCGGTGTCGGAGGACGGCGTGGAGATGACCTTCGCCACCAACTACCTGGGCCACTTCCTGCTCACGGAGCTGCTCCTGCCCGCCATGGCGGACACGGCCAGGGCCACCGGCGTGCAGGGCCGCGTCGTCAACGTCTCCTCCACCGTGCACGCCTGGTTCGCCGCCGCCGACGGGCCCCTCGCCTACCTCCACCGCGTCACCCGCAAGGCCACGTACGTCATCTACCTTCTTATTAATCACCACCGTACCATGTAGAGTATGTATCCATGGTGCTTCGAGATTCACGTGAGTCCTTTGCTGGAAACTTGATGGCCCTCTGCAGGCCGTACGATCCGACGCGGGCCTACGCGCTGTCCAAGCTCGCCAACGTGCTCCACACCGCGGCCCTCGCCGGCCGGCTCCGGGAGATGGGCGCCGACGTCACCGCCAACTGCGTCCACCCCGGCATCGTCCGCACCCGCCTCATCCGCGACCGCGCCGGCCTCGTCACCAGTGAGTCCTCCTCCTCCTCCCCTCTTGTTTCGTGAAAATAATCCGAGGTCGGAAAACACCGTCGTCATCGATGTGAGGCCGGTGCATGGGCCCAGGAGCCACGTGTCCGCCTCACACCGCATCGACGGCGGAGTTTTCCGACTCGTGGAGTCAACAAATAAACGTGGCAAATGGTTATCTTATTGTACCCTGGAACGACTTGGCCACTGCAGACACGGTGTTCTTCCTGGCGTCCAAGCTCCTCAAGACGGTGCCCCAGGTCAGCCACTCTCACTTTCACTTCATTCACTTCGGCCGATCAACGGTTTCCACGCCGGAATCCTGACCCTTGCATGTATGTCCCAGGCGGCGGCGACGACGTGCTACGCGGCGGTGCACCCGGCGGTGGCGGGGGTGTCGGGGCGGTACTTCGCCGACTGCAACGAGGCGGCGCCGTCGAGGCTGGCGTGCAGCGCCGAGGAGGCCTCCAGGCTGTGGAGCTTCTCCGAGGGCATCACCGCCGAGAAGGAGAAGGAGATGAGCCTCCCCGTCACCAGCTTCAGGTTCCAGGTCCAGAGCTCCAACGCCGACCGCGGCATGGCCATCGCCTAGGGATCCGAGCACCGTAAAATTAGTTTTGATCGAAGAACCGCTACAAGATGTCGCAGAACCTGAAATTGGAGGCTACCATCAAAGTTAGTGCAAAGTTGAGTCACTTATTTTGGGACGGAGGGAGTATTACAGTAGAATTAGTATAGCAGTAGCATATATACATATACCATGTACTACCAGAGTATATATAGCTGTAAATACATACCATATGTATACTGTCAGTGCAATATAATGCTTAGTGTGTTCCACTTCCTGAGCAGCTGAATCTTGCATGTCACATGCTCATCTTCCCTGTCCATCACACACACACACACACACACACACACACACACACACACACACACTAGATTACAATACATTAGATCAAATGTTCAACTCCACTAGCATAGCATGAATAATTATCCAGCCCATTGAGCTACATCCTACATAGATACTCTTCTTTTTAGGTTGGCACCCCGCATTAGTGCACTTCATTCACTGTTTGCACGTCAGCTAATCATGCCAGGCATCAAACGAACCGCTTGTCTGTAACTGAAGAGAAAAGGGAGCCCTGGATTTGGTTCCCAGTCCCAAATGGAGCAGCTTGCAATTTCTTAAATCCCACGACGCACGGGCGAAAAAAGTCCTCGATGAAAAAAAGAGAGAGATTGATTATTAGAACACACAAAAAAAACGCTTGTTAATCATCCGCTTTACGTTCCACTACGAGGAAAGCGCGCTTTTTCAGCTAGCCCTAACACATCAGGAGATTGGCAGGATTCAGCTGGATGGGCATTCGCCAGCAATCATCTCCTGCCCCTCCCCTGCTGATCATAATCATAATAATCGTAAACACAAAGCGGCTTTCGACGAATCAAGCTCGTAACCGAACCTACTGTTCGTACTTAACCAAGTGCTCGGAATGATGTTAGGATATGATTAGCGCAAGATTGGCCTCATGATTGCTTCAATCAGTTGCAGGTTATAATTTAGAAGAAGGCGAAGAAGATTCCTGTGCTGCAATGGGACAACTAATGAATGCCCTGCTTTCACAGAAGTTGCCAAACCCCAAATGGTTTCGTTTGATTGGGAGGTCAGGTGGGCTAATGATGCATGAGTAGCAGCTGGGTTAGGATGGCCCGTAATTTAGTGTTTATATTCGATTCGAGCGGTTTAGTGAAGACAATGATCTCTAGCTACTAAATTTCCAAACCTATCTGATGCACCGTCCACTTCCATTAAGCTGTACAAGAACGCTAAAGAATGACTTTCCTGGCCTCTTCACGCATATTGCAAAGCACAAACTTAATAACCAATGAATATAGGAAAGGAAAAGGAAATTGGTAGGCACATGGTGAACACCACAAAAGCCTGATAAACATTTTGATTATTTTATTTGATAGGAATTGTTAATATCATGTTGCCAGATTTCCTTTCTTAAGGGAATTAACTTGCTAAGACTTGATGCAAGATCAGGACAGAAGCAACATCAGGCTATTTGCTTAATGTAAGACGTTCGAAAAACGTCTTACATCTTGAGGCACTCCCTCTGTCGCAAAATGTAAGACGTCCGTGTCAAAAAACGTCCTACATCTTGAGGCAGAGGGAGTAAACAGGAGCAACCATTTTTGGCAACATAACCTGGAAGAAGCAACCATCAAACTCTTTCTTTAGAGAGTTTTTGGCCATGGAACCTGGAAAGCATGCCAGAGAACGAAGTCCTTCAGGATCCATGCTTAAGCGGTCCTCAGGAACAAAAGGTATACCAGACCTGGTAGGAACTGGGAGTCACTCGGCCCAGGAACTCTTAACCTGGTTTACACAATGTAATAAGGGAAAAAAATCAACATGAGTATCACTCAAACAATAATTATAGGCTTTTCGACACTGCTGAAGCTCAGATATCTCCGCACGAGTATAATTAATAGATAAAGCCGGTGATTTGCAACAAGAACATACTGGAGAAGAACTGAACTGTATAGAACATGGGTGATGGTTTTACAACATCCACAACAACAACATCCGACAATTGAGAATTTGGTTGGTATAACCGGCTAATATCACTCTTACAGTCTACAATTAAAACAATGGTAAGCCTTACAAGCTGATAGGGTTGCAACCCTTATCTGTCGCCCCATTCAGCCGCCTGATTGCTGTTTTGCTGCGGTAACACCACATCTCAAATGCCTCGGTGAGGTCAGGGTATCTGAACTGGTCTGCTTTCTGCATCCATTCCGACAGGATATCCGACTGGTCACCTGAAGGCAATGCTAAAATCAATGAAACAATTGCGCTCTCAATGTTCTGGCACAAGCCCGCGTCCATCCGAGGGAATGCCTCGTCTTTCGCCTTTGCATCAAGGAAGCGCTTTGTTGTCCGGATGTACGGGAGCCATGTCTTCACAAGATGCGCTCTGGATGTTGAAGGGAGAATCACAGAGCCATAGCCAACAGCATCCAAGGCCTTTCCAGTCACTTCTATAAGCTTTGTCTTCACAGCCCAGAGACCTGAGCTATACTTCTCGTCCTGAACCACCGAGACAACATGGTCTGAGATTTCTAACCAGCCAGAAACAAACTCGTTCATCAGCTCAATCTTTGTCAAGACAGTGGTTATCCAGTCAATGTCAACTAAGCTGCGCACAATCCTTTGCTCTGCTTGTTCAGGCAATTTATCAAACTCTGAGGCCAAGAGATCCAGTCCGGTCCTAAGGGTTGACAACAGTTTTGTCAAACCTTCCCTCAAGACAGACCTTACATCTTCATCCATCATAACAATTGCAGGGTCATCACCGTCATGGAGCATGAAGTCAATCTGCTCCTGAGCAGCAGTCTTGAGGTCATCAAAGAAAGCAGCAGCTGAAGTCTCCATGGACGTAGCGAAGCGCACAGCGGAGATGAAAACAGTCTTGACAGCGTTGGCACTGGGAGCTTGCAAACGGGCTAACAAAGGTGCAGCAGCTTCTGGGGCCAGGGTCTGAGCAAACTGTAAAATCTCTTCCTCCTCCTTTTCGTCCCAGGAAGCAGATTCAAGGTATCCGATGCAGGTTTCCGCAACGAACTCGGATTTGAGAGAGGTCGCTGCCCGAAGAACGCCAAGAGCCGACTTAACGGAGGTGATTGCGTCCTCAATCGAATCTCTCGAAAGATACATAAACTTCAACAACTTGACATAATGGTCATACTCAGCCCTCGGGCACTGGACTTCAATGCAGTTATTGGTACCACCAGAACGGGCATCACTTTGACCCAGCAAGTCCGCGAAATACTTGCTCCTGTTGGAGAGGACGGGCGAGTGGCAGGGAAACCATTCTGGCTGCTCGCCGCGAGCGCCGGTCCTTCTAAAGCAAACACGGACATCGCTCGTAGACTCGTCAGCAAACTTGTATCCATCAACTGCATCAACCGTCTCCATAGTGAGCGATAAAGTATACACTGGAGATCAGTGGCAGCAGTCTTCCACCTTCATTTGCAACAGAAACCCCACAAGCCTGCACAAACATCATGAAAACACGATCAGTTGCTTCGACCACGGGTGCAAAACAGAAGTGCTGGTTATACATAAATCCTACGGCATTGGTACCCAAAGCAAATAAATGGAAATAAATAGCATGCTGCCCGACGTCCGAATCTGAATCCGATTTAGAGTCGGCATTCAGACACCTGGTTAACTAACTACTCAAACCTTGCTTTATTTAGATTGTTTCGTCCGCGAGAACCTCTTCAGGGGTACTAACTAATGGCACTGGAGCGCCAGAACACTCACAAATTGACCAGAGCTAACACCGGACATACTGCCCATAGCTGACACCTGCCTCTGGTCTGCTCCAGAAAAACAACACCCCAGTTCCTCACAGTTGGGACTAAAAATCAGTACGCGGATGTTGTAGATCCGTGGGCATCGTGCTCGCTAGAGCAAAGGGGAAATCCAGGGGGTTCGTCGGAGTATCTACAACCGGTGGCCTGGAACTGGAACCCAGCAATCCTCCGCCCCGACCGAGCAAAACCGACTCCTAGGCGATCGTCGGGGACCGAAGCCGGCGCCACGAGGGCGCTGTACCGGCGCGTCCTCCCTAACCCGCGCTTCTAGCGACGGAGCACCGCCCAGATTTGAGCGCGGCCGCGGCGAAATCCGCGACAGGGATGATGTCCGCGGACGAGGTGGGTGGATGGGTG